AACGTGCCAGCAGGAGTCTTTGTCCCCTCTTTCATCATCGGAGCGGCGAGCGGGCGGATGACGGGGGAATTCATGCAGGTTTGTTTTATTTAAATACGTTCTTTTCTAGGATGAATTTCAGGGCAAAAACCATAAAAATCTCCGAAAACCTGGTTTACCACACTAAAAGTCCCACCTTCTCCCCACCTTTTTCCAGATGTTTTTGATAACTAAATAAGATGACCAGTAGCGTAATCTCTTGTTTTTGCGACTCCCTAGTACCTTTAAAATGAATAACTTGACTAAAAACTCTCTTTTTTTTCAGCTGCTCTTCCCGGACGGGCTGCGCGGCGCGGGCGGTCCTCCGATTTATCCGGGACTGTATGCCGTTGTTGGTGAGCGTTTCTCTCTTTCTCTCGCTCTCTCTCACTCCCCTCTCTCTCGCGTTTTTACAAGAGCGTTTTCCAGGCGCTGCTGCCTACACCGGTTACACACCACACCCTCTCGGTGGCGGTGATTGTCTGCGAGTTGACGGGGCAGCTGACCCCGATACTTCCGGTTTTGGTATGTTTTCAAGGCTCTTACTTACCTTTTAAATCCTATAATTTCGATGTGAATATTTTTGTAGATCGCAATGTTGATGGGCAACGCCATCTGCAAGTTCTTGCAACCGTCAATTTACGAGAGCATCATCCGGGTCAAGAAGTACCCGTACTTGCCCGAGTTGCCGCCGAGTCGATTCAGGTGCGTTTGTCGTCTTCTTCCTTAGCTTTCTCTCTGACACACACGCTCTCTCTCTCTCTCTTTCTCTCTCCCTCGTTCTCTCTCTTTCCCTCTCTCTCTCTCGCTCTCCCAAATAACTTTTTTTTTCAGTGTGCACACCGTCAAGGTCGAGCAGATCATGGTGGAAGCACGTCATCTACATCACTAAGAATGTGATGTTCGCGAGTTGAAGGAGGTTCTAAATATCTGCACCTCATCTGAGAAGCTGGTCGATTGTCACTGATCACGGTAAGAGAACGACAGAGAGAGAGAGAGAGAGAGAGAGAGAGGGAGAGAGTGTGTGTGTGGGAGATAGGGCTACGGGAAGACAGTAAAGCAACACAGTATGAGTTCGTTTTAGCCACAAAACTCCTCCTCGGCTCCGAAGCAAAACGGTACCTGGTGATGCTTCCTCAGACGTCATGTGCCTGTCTCTCAACAAGATAGCAAGCAAAGCCGACTCACTCCGGCAGACATCATCAACACGATCAGAAGGACGTCGATGAGGTGAGCATCAACTTTTAGCGTTTTTCTAACCCGAGTCCATTAAAAGGAGTTGGAAGTGGGAGAATCGACCCTTTGCTATCCACTAGGTCTAGACAGCTACAAGACATGCCAAACACGAGTGGAAGCCCATTTGGATATCTGCTCCGATGTCGGTTTTTAGGGCTCGTAGGAACTAAATTCACGCGTAATTAGGCGTGCCGCGTAGCTGTCTAGGCCTAGTCAATGCAACGGGTCGATTGTCTCATTTCCCACTTCATTTCCCTAACTTTAATATAGCTTTAACTACTTAAAAATAGCCTAGAAATCCATCAACTTCTTTGGATAGAATTTTCTAACTATATAGCTAGCTTGCAAAACTTTAAAAAACTAAGAAAAGATTTCTAATTCAAATGATGTAAAAATTGCCTAAATTGACAGCAAAATGTGTACTAAAAACAACTACGTGTGTCTTAACTTGTCCATATATTTAGCGTGCCATTTCGTGTCTAATATTTGTTTTTAAAAGGGACGGTGAAGTCAGAATTTGCTTTTTTAGAAGTTTAGGCGGTCCACTTTAAAACGTTTTCAATCCTATTAATGCATGAAGAAATCAGCTCGTTAAAGATCCTAAAACTACAGCCATTCTTTGACTTCCCGGTCCCTTTAAACCCTCGACAAAAACCCCCTTAGCAACCCCGGATGCAAATAATAAAATCCCAAACCTCATAACTGCCCTGCCTCCTAGCACGCTATCGGCAATTCAAGTCGCCGGAAGCAGGTAAAGCCGACTCCTGGCCCCAGAAAATTGGGATTTAGCTGGAAAGCGGCAATTCAGCCCCAACCACCTCCTCACAATTACTATACACCACACCCCTTCCACACCGTAATCTGCTTCTTTCATCACGCTTTCGACACCCTATTCTGCACTTTCAGTTAATAAAAAAAATCGGTTTTTTCAGAAATAAGAATAATAATATTAAACAGGCTTATATAAATTTAATACACCTATATACCGATCATATTAGCTAAATAAATTACTTATTACTCAAAATACAAAAAGAAAAAAATTTCTTTGAAGGATTTAGCACTGTTTTTCAAAGTTTTGCCCCTTTAAAAATCTGGGTTTTACACTTTTTTGATGACAAGGTAAATTTTCGGAAGTAAATAATAATAATAATTCTAATTAATTTGGTTCCTGAAAAAGCAATAATCGTCATTGAAAAGTAAAAAATGTGAATTTAGAAAAATCACTTTTTCTAAAAAATTTAATACTTAAATAATAAAATAACTTATAGCAATATCTTGCTCGGAGGAAAGTTTCGTTACTCGTTATTAATCGTTGAAAATTAAAAATCAGATGAAATTCGGTTCCAAAAACGAATCTTCAAAGCAAAAATTTTAATTTATCCCTATTCTAATTCGTCTAATTTGACTAGGTAATTGAAGCAGTGTCAAAATTTTTGTCAAAATCTATCTTTGGTGCTTTAAGTTCATTACTTGACTAACCGTCCCTGATTTCCGTGGTTTCCGGCCTAAAACCCGTGTGTCCCTCAGTTCCTGTTGCCGTCTAATAAAATGGCTGGGCCGTCCTATACGTCCAGTTGTATCTTGCGTTTGTTTTGATCAGGACCAAAAGCTACCAATACAGCGCTTCATCCAAGCTTTAGGCTCTCAAAGCGGAACTCGGCCCGTCGCCAGGAGCAAGAGCAGCGGATAGCGGAAAAAGCGCTTCACCGCGCCGCTTCGAATCGATCGGCAGAGGTTTGTGGCATTTTCTGAGGATCTATTTGCATGGAAAATGTCAAGAAAAACGCATATCAAATGGCTAAGGGTACTGGGCAGTGTAAAATCGACCCCTGCGATGCACTAGGTGTCGATAACTACGTGACACGCCAAAATACGCCTTTCCAACGCGCTCGGCACTCCGATTTTTCGCAAAAGTCTCATCGCAGAAATCAGTGGTGAAAATTAAATCAACCCCGTATTTTGCCGTGTCGCGTAGCTATCTAGACCTAGCCGATGGTAGGGGTCGATTCTCGTGCTTTCTAGCCTCTTTAGAGGGCTAAGATGTAAATTTTATGAAATTTTCTCTTGTAGCAGGCGAAAAAATTGCTGGGCGCAAAGGTGAGAGTAGTTGATTTGTCGGTAGTTTTCCGTGCTCATTCCATTTCCCCAAAAACCCACCGATTTTTCTCTGCAATAGATATTATTTATTTTGTTTTGGTCCGTAAAATTAGAAAAAGAAGATTTTTCTAAACATAAAAATTTTCAGAGCGCGCCAATGCTCGGCAATCGGGAGGAGGAGCAGTACGACATCGTGCCGGATCGGACGTCGAACGGGAATACCCATTTGAGGTGAGCCAGAAAGGCCAAGTGTTCGCCTAAGCCTAAGCCTGCTTCCAAGCCTAAGCCTGAAGCCCAAGCTCTGGGGTTCCTAGCCTAAGCCTAAGCCTAAGCCTAGGCCTATGCCTAAGCCTAAGCCAAGACCAATTTCAATCAACACTTTCAGCATCTCACCCCTACATGCACCGAACAACGTTCCGCTACACGCCGTCTTTACGCGACCGTCTAACACCGAACTCCACAAGGTAGGTTAGATCGTTTCCAGTGCACTACTATTGACGGTTGTTTGGTATTGAGAAATTAAATTGATTCCGCGAATTCAAGCTCCCGAAAGTTCTCCAATTCTAGGACCAAAGCGAGGAGGAGCTGCTCAACCGGACGATCGACTTGGATGAGATTGCCATCGATTCCGCACCATTCCAGCTTGTGCACGGGTCATCACTTTACAAAGTGAGTGGTGCGACGAGAGAGAGAGCGCGAGAGAGAGAGACAGAGAGAGAGCTAGCCACCCTAACCATATTTTTCAGGTCCACAGTCTCTTCTCGCTCCTTGGCCTCTCCCATGCCTACGTCAGCGATAGAGGGCGGCTGATTGGAGTTGTTGGGTTAAAAGAGGTATCGATTTTAGGGTATCGCAATAGTACTTTAATTTTAGCTACGAGATGCCTTGGCTCATATCTACCTGAGAGGTGTCTTGCCGGCTAAAGGCGATCGGAAGCTGACTTCCGGAATCGTGGGCGTTATTCCGAAACAGGAGGAGGAGACGCAAAAGGACGAGGAGGTGAGTCGGCTGAGACTGAGAAAGAAGGAGAGAGAGAGAGAGGGAGAGAGAGATCTACAGCGCCAGAAAGAACATCTCCTACATCCTATATTTTTAGCCCGAAGACTCGAGAGCAAATCCAACGGTATCACCATCCAAATGGACGCCAAGCAGACCCACGGCAACTCCCGGTCCGTCCCCTAAATGTCTCAATAATCCTAGGAAAGATGTTTTCTGTATTTTTCATATTTTTCTATTTTCTATTTGCACTTTTGTGATTTCCGCCTTGCTCGAGATGTTCATCTACTGTATATAGCCATGCTTGTTAGGCCTAGCGATTCCCGGCAGTGCAATTATTCCAGAACTTGTCAAAAAAAACATTTATTGATTTTGGTGCTTGCTTTTCCTCCGGCGATGATTGGGGTGGGATTGGAGGGGGTTTGTACCTGGAAAAATTTGAAATTTGCGCATTTTTTTGGACCGAATTAGATTCTAATTTAATTTTACGGATTTTTACTTGAAGTTCTTTAATTTTTACAGCTTTAAAAAATCCAGATCCAAAAAATTATTTTTACGATGTGAAAAATTGAAAAATTCACATAATTTTTCAGAAATTTTATCTAGGTCGTAAGGCCCAAACTAATATATTTTTCGATAAAAAACCCATTCAAAATAGCGCAAATTTTCATATTAAAAAAACCCTCCAAAACCCACTCCACCAATCCGCCTATTCCTAGTCAAATTCGCCACTAATGCGTGAATCCGGTACCCAATACGCCCCCCGGTCCATTACAGGTAGTGGAGCTGTTTTCCGGCTAGTCCCCCCACTCCCCAAATCCCGGTGTTTTTATTGCAATAAGCGGCTACACTTTTGTTCGGATTTGTGTTGAATCCCGTAGTCAAATGTTTTGGAATATTTTTCCTGTTTTCCGTTGTTGACGAAATTACGGTTCGACCTACTACTGTAAATTAAATTTGAACTCGGTGTTGTGGTCAGCTAGGGTCGTTTTTGATTTTGCGCATTATTTTATTTGTGTGAATCAAATGGATAAAATTTTTTTTGAAAAAGCTTTCAACTTAAGTACAGACATGATCCAAAGTGTCTAACAAGAAAAAGACAAGAAGCCAAAGGTGGACTTCGCATTTCGGACCAAGCCGATCTTTTGCAGACTTTTTAGCTAATCCTGAATACAGTTTTAGATTATCCGGAATGGTTATGTTTAAGAAGCTACAGTGAATTTTTTAACGAAAAATTTAGTAAATTCGGACTTTAGAGGCCCTGTAAAAGGGCATCGATAAAAAAACTTTCAAAACTTCAATAGTGCATCTGGCTAAAAAAACGCGCTCATTCGAGTGAGCTAACACACGAACAGCCTACTCAAATTTTGCGCAAAATTATTTTCTAGAATTTTTATTTCGCAGTGAGTAGGGTGACAAAAGTAATAAAGTCTATCCCGCATTCTAGCCTCTACCAAAAGGATCACTGAGGTCTAGAGTAAGGACTTGCCACACTTTATACTTCTGCCTTTGCCCCTTGGGCCCGTTCAGACTCTCCCGAACCTAGTATCCTCGACATAGGCCAAGAAAGATTCACGAACCCAAGAAGCCACAACAAGGAGATGAAGCTTGGATTGTTCAGTGGTAGAAATCTTGTAAAGAATCCCAAATGCATTTCGGTACGATTGTCTAGAGACAAAAGGTTTATCGACAATGAACAAAACTGAGATACAATTGTACTCATCGCTTGGTCACAAGGTTCTGGTTCAAAACATATTGCACAAAGCAATACAAAGGTTTTGGCTCAACTCTGACGATATTGGGCAGCATGGAGGCTTGCTCCCAGGAAACTACCCAAAAAAGGGCAATCCCCCCAAAAAGGCAATTAACCCAATAATCGGAGAGCGCGGCTCTCCGGGGGGCGCCGGGGACTACGGTATCACAGGCAAGGGGCGCGGGATAGGAAAATCCCTTCGAACCTCTGCAATAAGCAGAAAGGTTTCGACATAGGGCGCATTGCGTCAATTTCTTGCATAGCATAAAAGGTATATCGATCCTGGGCTTAGGACGTAGGGGGCGTCTTTTTAATACGCGGAAATTATAAATCCATATATCTATAAATTTTCGCATTTCCTATAAACAATCACAACTGCTCTGCCAGCACGATTCATTTGTGTCTCGCTTAATAGCCGAGACACAAATGTTTTTGCCCCCGATAAGCGAGCCACATATGAGCGGGGCCCAAAATGGTCGCGAGTCACATATGAGCGGCCAAAAACATGTGTGCCACGCATGTTAGCCGTGTCACACATGTCCCACCCTGGACCGGACGCGAGCCACACAAGTGTCCCGGACTGGACTCGAGCGACACATGTGTCCCGGACTTAGGCAAATTTTTAGGTCGAAAAATACAAAAATTTTATAAAAGTTATTTTTCATCCCAAATATCACCAGAGGGCTACAGGCACTCAGGAATTGTTTATTTCTTCGTTTTTCAAGGGGTTTATGACGGGGGTGGCACGGATCCCGGCCGGAATGGATGTCGAGTACGACGCGCTACTACGAACGATGGAATAACGTGCTTTTCACACAATAAGTTTTAGCCATGGTGTTAGAAAAAATAGCGTTTTTGACTGTAATTTTTAATAAAAAAAGTGTTTATTTTGTCGTTTCTGGAATCTTTTATGAATTAGACTTATTGGAGCAACTTGGCGTGGTTTAGGCTTGTTTTCGCTGCAAAAATGAGTAAAAACTCGTAGATAGCTAGGCTTCATGGCATTTTCTTTAGTAAAAACTCTTTTTCTTATGCTCTACGATCAATTTAACTTTTGTTCTTGCATTATTTGCCTCCAATTTCGTTTGCCGACTAACTTTGAGCATTTTCAGGTAACCTCGGCGCTGCAACATAACGAAAACGACGGCACAGGTGCGTCGACCGCTAGAAATTGGTACGCGCGTGGCGAAAGGTGCGTTTTCTTGATATTATTTCCAACAAACTTATAGTTTTAGCGTATCGCCTTGTCGGGAAGAAGCACGAGGACCAATCTTCACAGCTAAAGGTATTATTTCGATAGAAGTCTTTAGGAAATGCGCTGTGATCGACGGCTCGCGTGACGAATGAATGGAAACGGCATGGAAACGCTATCAAGACGGGGATTGCGGTTGTCGGAGCTCGCTTTTCAGGTACCAATTCGTTTTTGGGACTATGACACTTCAGCAACTTTTGTATTTGTCGGTTTTGTCGTTTCCAAACTCATGTTTAGGCCAAATCGGGGGCTGTTAAACAAAAAATGACATCCATGCGCTACATTTCTCGTGATCTTTGACGTTTTCTAGCCTATGATCTAGTTTTTTATACCGAAAACCCGGCTAGATGTGGAAGTGTCTGTGTACCCCGGGTTTTTAGTGTTTTTTCGCTGCTATTACTTTTTTTTGAGTAAATTTTCGCTCTTTTTTTGCAGGTAAATTTCGTGCCACGATGAATAGTGCCGGTGCCGAGCTCGTGCTCCGCTCAAAAATGAGGTAAAAGGTATTTCCGGGTTGTTATTGATAGTTTTTTACAGGAGACTGAGGTAATTTCGTCGCGCGCGCGCCAACTGCTCGATGGAGCGTCCCATCTACTTGGCTCACGATTGCGAGGTGATTTTTCCTTCTTGAACTCGGGCCGTTGTATTTCCTGGGTGAAAAATTGTCTTGTTTATGTTTTTTTTTAGTTTTTATATTTATTTTGTCGTTTTGTAGGTATTCGGGCGACGTCCAGGACATGGGCATCAAAAAGGCCCCCGAATTGCACACGGCGCTACCACGCCAGGTATTTGGTGTTTTTTTTTCACGAAGAATTTCATTTTTTGGTGCTCCCGCCGACAAATTGATGATTTGTGCCCCCACCCTTCATCGTCAAAACGGCCTAGAGGTATTTCTATTTTTATATTTCGTAGCTGTTGCCATTTGGCGCTTGGAGATATAATTGTCATTCTTTTGTGTTGAATTATTTTTTAAGGTGTAGGACCGCTCGACGAAGACTGTCCCTGCCGCCATCGAGAGGGCGAAACGAAATGGCGAAGGAGGAAACGAATACGCAAGTCTTTTTTGCTTTGTTTTTATATGTTATTTTTGGTATAAAGTGTATATTTTATTTGTGCACTTGATTGATTTTATTAGGGGTATACAACCCAATGTACTTGCAATGATTTGTGGGGATGAGTGGCCATTTCTGGGCTCCTCGGTCATTTCCCCCGAAGACGGGGGAAATGACTGGGGACACCCCGGGAATGGACTCTGTGTCACATGTGTGGCTCGCTTGTAAGCGTGACACATATGTCCGCACATGTGAGCCACGCGTGTGACACAGAACTTTAATCTACAAGTGACACACATGTTTTTAAAAGCGTGTCACAAATGTGTCGTGCTGGCAGAGTGTTGTCGAAAGTTGCGAGCATTATGCTGCAATGTTCGATGGTTTGCTAAAACCTGTACGTTACCGTAGCGCGAGGCCCCTTCGGAGAGACGGGGCCGGGCCGCTTTCGTGATTATTCCGAACAGACGATTTATGGATTTCTCTAGGGTTTAACGACCAGGTCTGTGCGGGTATTGCGTTAGCAGAAGACCAGCTACCTTTTGCCCTACGCCCAGCATCTTTTGCCTAACTGTAACCGTTTTTTGTTGACCGTGGGATTTCGATACGTGAGATAGGAACATTTTGTAGAATTTTTCGCTGATTCCGAATCCGTTTTCAAAGGTTGCGGAAACCTCCAGATAAAAGCTAGAGCCGGTTTCTACCCCTAAATGACCTGAAAATTACAAACTTAAGGCCTTATAAAAACTCGTGGAAGATTTTGTGGATAAAATACAGCACCCCTAAGGGTAAAAACGTGCTCTTCGAATGGCTACCACGAACCCGTAGCTCAAAATTCACAAAATTTCAAAAATTGTCCATCTAGGGAGGGCATTGGTCCACCGAAAACCTTTTTTTCATGAATTTTGAGCTACGGGTTCGTGAGGTAGCCCATTCGAAAGAGCACGTTTTTTTACCCCTAGGAGTGCTGTATTTTATCCCACAAAATCTTCCACGAGTTTTTTATAAGGCTTTAAAGTTTGTAATTTTCGGTCATTTGGGGTAGAAAACCGGCTGTAACTTTTTATCTAGAGGGGTTCCGCAACTTTTGAAAACGGATTCGAATCAGCGAAAAAATTCTGTACAAAATGTGCCATCTCACGTATCGAAATCCCACGGTCAACAAAAAACGGTTACAGTAAGACCAGCGAGTTAGACCAGCACTTTACCTTGCCCTCTCCATCCATCGATGAGTGTGCTCGTATTCTAATGGTTTACATGCCGATAAACTTTGTGTATACCTTTTGTATCCTTATACCGAAATGCATTGGATTCTATTACACGATTGTAGAAACTACCACTGAACATTACTGCTTTTGTATAGCTCTTTGGGATCCCTTGCCATCTCCCGGTCTATCTGATGCAGGGTTGTCCGAGCGGGGCCCAAGGGGCAAAGTCCAAGGTGATAGTGTGGCAACTCTAGCCCTCCTCCGTGATCTTTATAGTAGAGGATTTGGCGCAGAGGGACTATTACTTTCGACAACTGTAAAATCCAATCCATGCATCCGTATTAAATCACAGTTTTCGGCCTGTCCTTAATCCATTCGCGTAGCCGGGGTGTTGCGTGGATCCTCTCCTTGAAAGCTGCCAGCTAAAAAAAACTCTAAATGGATGGTCTATAGAAATTACCTGTGGATATTGGGCCGTGTAGTCGCCCTTCGAGTAGTTCATAAACGTGTACAAGTGGTCGGCCAATTGGGTGTCGATCCACGAGAGTTTCGAGCCGACCTTAATTTTATTTTTAGAGCGTTTCAAAGCCATCTACTGTAAATCGCTTTGCGTATCGCCAGCGCATCTATATGGATCTAATCCATGGAGAATTTAAAGCTCGAAAAATAGAAAATGAATGAAAGAAAAATATGCCTTGCGTCCTCCAAAAAACCTTATAACTCACCAGGAATCCACTTGGGTTTTCGTCCAAAAATTTCGAAAAAAGTGGCAAGTGCTTGTCACGTGCGGGCTGCACGATCGTTTCGTAGACGTTATCCTAAAAAACGCACATTGAACTGGATTTCTACTTCTGTTAACAAAGTAAGCTGACAAAATTTAAAAACGATAAAAATGTAGCGAAACCCGGACACAAAAATTAGGTTTTTTTATCACTAGGTTCCAAATATCAAAAACCTTACCAAATCCCCTTCAATAATCTTGTTATACGTCCTGTAGAAGGGGCGGATCTCCTGGAAAAAGTCCTCAAACTGATCCACAAGCGCGTCGATGCGCGCGGCTTCCCAGTCGTTACTGCCGGCAAAGCCTAAATTTCGGTTAAAAACGACATAGACAAAACGCCGAGTTATCTAAAAACAGTTTTTGTATTAATGAACTTCTTTTCTATCTAGCTGCTATAGTTTTAGAGTTTAAAAAAAAATACCGTATTTTCTAGTCAAAAACCGGCCGATGGCCTTAGACTGGGCGAGCTGCCCCTCCTCGCACTCCAAAACTGGCATCTGGGCGAATGGCATCTCTAAAACGATAAAATTTATACAAATTCCCGGATTCGATTAGCTCTAAAAAATGCATTTATATTTTTTCTACCTTTCTTTATATGTGGCCACTGTTCCCATTGAATTCGCCGGTCCTCAAACTCGACGCCGGCCAGCTGGAGAAGTTGGCGGATGTTTTCGCCTGAGAAGAAGAGGTTAAAATATGAATTCTATAGTTTTTATACATTGTTAAAGTGTATTTAATTTAACTTGAATCTATTCGACATCACCCGAGGTAATCTATGGTATTTAGCCATTTTTAAGTTTAAAAATTCGAAAAATGAGGTGTTTTTGAAAGTTATAACATGGAAAAGATCCAAATTACCTTCCTTTTATAAAGTGTCGAAATACAAACCTTTTGCGCGAAAGTAGAAATACGTTAATATGTATTTTGGGGGCATTTTGGGTGCAAAAGGAAGGAAGATAAGCTTGACGACGGCTCGGCAGCCCAGCGAATTAGACCGCGTAATGCATTGTCCCGGGCGCACACTGGCAAAACGGCGCCGGTACAGAAACTAAATCGAAGTCTGATAGTCTTCTTTAAAGTTAAAAAAGTCTTAAAATAAAGTAATAAACGAGTCAATAACCAAAAATACAGGTACGAAAATACCGCCGGCAATGCCACGCGTTGATTTGCATCCCAAACCTACATACCCGCTGCGTAAAAACCGGATTTTTGCGGAATTTGCGTATATATTCTGCTTCCGCATGCCCGTGGACCGGCTGCCACCCGAGAAACTGTAGGCACGATTGAAAATTTTTGCATGCAAAGTAGCAACTTTTGCAAAAATTGTTGCAAAACACGCGGGGGTCAAGGGGTCGGAAAAACAAAAGATAAGCAGCCACTGGAATTCGTTACATTTCGGTACTAAAAACGGCGGTTTTTGAGGTCAACTAGTACAGCAGCTAGCCGGGGGCAAGATAAGAAAAACATGTGTTTTTAACGGGCAAAAAAGCGAATGTGAGGCATTTGTGTCGCCTAGCGCCTAGTCGCTTAAATTCAGCAGAGCTATTGAAAAGTAAATGCTTTAGAAAATGACGAGCTCCAACTATCAACGGATGAAAAGTTCGAGCGTTTCGACGACGCAGACCGATCAGCATATTGAGGTGGGTTGTCGGGGGTTGGTTCGGATTTTGAAGGATTAAAAGGCATTTGCTAACAAGGAGACACTTTTAGGTGCTTGTGGAGTTTTAGGTTGGGTGACGTAGCACATTCGATAATGTTAGAAATTCTAAGAAAATCCCATCTTTCAAAAAAGCTGCTGAGCGAAAGCGGTCTTCGAGATAAAGCTTCTGTGAATTCAGTTGTCCGAGCTTAAATTTTTGTTAAGCAGGATCGAAATGGCTACAATGGGCCTTTTCATAGCAACTCTTCGCCAAGACCGTACTCGTTCAGAAAGTTTTGAAAATTGAGATCTGGTCAGAATTTCACGCTCAATCGAATCAGCTCTGTAACAGTGCCTAGTCTAGAAGCACATAAAACGACGCCTTGAAAGCCGAAATTCAAATTTCGAGTGAGATGGCACGACAAAACAGAGAAGCAAATCAGGTTATGACGGACTTTCATGGGTTCTATGCGGAATTTTGTGAAATAGGTTGTTGATCACTTGACGAACTTCGAAATTCCGGTTTGAGGGGTATCTTCGGAAGAGGAGTCTAGGAATCGAGGAACCCACGGGAAAGCAAGTGCCTCCATTCATGGTACCGTGTGATCGATTAGAGCTAGATGGCTAGCAGAGATACTTGGCTGTTGCTGGGCTAGCTATCAAAGATCTTTGGGGTATTTCTCGGTGAAGTGGATTTTCGCGTATCTTCTTACCAACTCAGCAGAGATTGTTGATCAAATCTTTCGTCGAGATATGAGCTTTGGGCAATCTAGCAGATTTTTTCACTTTTGATAATTTGTCAATTTTGAGCCGATTTTGGCATGATTTTGTTGTCATGAGCAGGGACGCAGCGTAACACAGGCCCGCCTGGGAAATCGGCCGGGGCTCGAAAATTTATAAGGGGGGACCCTGGATTTTTATTTTTCAAAATTTTGCTGCTTGCGGCGCTATTTTGTCACAAGTTAGATAAAGCTATTTGTAGAGCTATGCAACCTTTTTTCAAATTTGTTTGGGTGCGGGGCTGTTTTTCGGCTAAGTTAAGAGTTTTTGGAAACATTTTTAGAGGGCCCCCTGAAATTTTTTTCGGGCTATGCCCCCTGTTCATGAGGTTTATTGACGTAG